CTTAAACAGAAAGGCAGGACTTGAGTGACATCATCAGTATTCATTCATTCATTCATTCATTCATTCATTCATCCATTCATGTACTCATTCCTGTACTTATTGAGCTCCTACCAGGGGCCAGGAGATGTTTTAGGTGTTGGAGGTATAAGGAGGAAGGAACAAACAAAACAAAGTTCCTGCCTTGACTACAAATTTTTAAAAATGCAAGTAAATTTATAGTTTGTCAGATAGAAATCACAAAGCACGGAGAGGTAGAAATAAGCACTGGGAGAGGAGTAGGTGCTGATTACTCGTAAACCAAATTTCATTTCAAAGTGTTTCACAACTCAAGAGACTGCAATTGAGAACGAAAATACACAGAAATGCCATTTAAAATACACAATAAAATGTCTTTACCTGTACACGGCAAGATCCAGGATGATCTGGTTACGCTTTTCATCATCTTTCAAAGAGAAGTCGAGTCTAAGGAATAATTCATTTGGGGGAAAAAAAGATGATGTATTTAGTAATACTTTTATAGACAGCCTCATCCCATTATCAGAAGTAAAATTCACAATAATGATATAATAATTTCCAATGACAAACTTATTTTGGTAGCTGGACAATAAAATGTCTACGGTGATTTAAAAATTTCAACCGAAATGTACAACATAGTCATACATTATTTCTCTTTACGGTGTTTTCATGTGAGAATCTTAAGGTAAATTACATACAAAAAAATGAGCATTGGTGCAGAGATAGAGACATCTGGTGGTTCAAATGTTCTATTTCATTCGAGTTTTCCAGGAGCAAACTCAAAGCCTGGAGTTATTTGTGGAGAACTAAGCGATGCATGTCTCCCCTTATCCAGCGTTCTACTCCTTAATTCAGTTTTCAACAGTCTTGTCTCCTCGTTCTTTCCCTTAGTTTCCTTTTTGCCTTTCACTGCTGACCTCTCCACTGCCTTGGGAAATGCTGGGGCACTGCCTGTTATGTCGCCTCCATTCTGCAGATGAAGAAACAGGGACTCGGAGAGGTTGACACAGTTGGGAAAGAAGCCACCTGAGCCTGAAAAGGCAGGATTTCAAAGCCCTAAATCCTTCACCTACACCCCGAGGCTGAGCCCTAGGTGTGACTTCCATCCCGTCAACATACTACTCAGAAGGACTAAAGGATGTAAGCTAAATTGTTTGGGAAAATATAAAGCTAGCCATAGATCTGGCTTTTGGCAGTAGGTCTGCCTGAGGCAGCCACTCTCCCCGCTTTCAGCAGTCCAGCCGGGCGGGACTTCAGTTGCTGAAATGACTCATGCATTCTATCTCATCTCGGGAGCGTTTACAGATACCGTCCCCTCTGCCTTGATTGCTGCTCCTCAATTTCCCAGCTGGCCAACGGAAACTCTCCCTTCACATAGCACTCGAAAGGCAATTCCAGAGAAGTTTTCTATAGCAGAGACTGTCGTCATTTCCTACTAGTCACTCCCCTTTTCTCCACAGTAGTAGGACCTGATGTTAACTAGAAACATAGATCTGAAGAATGAAGACTACATTTTCCAGCCTCCCTTGCAACTAGATGAGGTCATGTGACTTAGTTCTGTGAAGGAGAGGATTACATGGCGCTTCCCAGGAAGTTTCCTAAAGAGAGGGAGTACGTACCCTTCCCTCTCTTCATCCTTCTTTATTCAGTGCAGTAGAAGAGATCATAGGAGGCCAAGTGATGAACCATGGGGGCTACTGACAAGCGATTGCAATTGTCTGGGTTTTGTTAACAAAGCATAAGCTCCAGAGGGCACAGTGGAAAGGATGGGGGTCGGGGAGAGGGGAGAGGAGGAGTCCGATTAGCTGTACAGAGCCATATGGGAATAAGACTCTGGATGACTGATGACTAGGAGAGTAAGGAACGGTGACTGCAGTAGGCGGTAATAGGGGAGGTGATGCGGAATCAGTTCTTCATAGGACACCCCTAAACAGAATTGGCCGTAGAGGCAGGTAAAGAGGTCAATGTGGTGAGAGGAGCGGTGGTCTCACGAGGGACACAGGGAGCTCTGGGGGTCGCCCCTGAGCCCTGCTGAAGGCTGAAGAGAGACTTTTTCCCACTAGATTTTTAACCTCCACGAAGGCGGAAACCTGTCGTGTTCGCTGCTGTAACCCCAGTGCCCGGTGTCGTGTCTTGTGCTGCCCTCGTGCCTGCTGGATAAAGAAGGCATGTGTGCATGGGGCTGGGGGAGGGTGATCATAGAAAGCACCAGAAGTGCGTTAGCATGAGCAAGTCAGACACACTACCCGTTAGCTAAGTGCCCTTGGGCAAGTCAATTCGCCTCACTCAGGCTGAGGTTTTGGACCTATGACAAAATAAATAGTGCCTATCACACAAGATTGCCATGCAGATAAAATGTAGGATGCCTGGCAATGATTCAGGATGGCACCTTCATCATGGTGATGGCATAGCAAATAGTAAACAGATTTTGAGTAATGAAATGAAGGAAACAAGACTTAGACCATAGGCTTTTTGGTGTGTATTTTAGGGTGCTTTCTAGTTTAAATTTTAAGACAGCCAGATAGAATAGATAAGATATTCTTATTCTTGAGGATTTCCAGTTTGAATATTTTTCCTCTCTCATTAACTTCACAGGAGTATTTATATCGATTTCTTTCCTTAGTTCTTGAATGCTCTGTAGATGTGTTCCAGGGTATAAAGTAGATGGATAGGAGATGTAGCAGTATTCTCAGCCAGTCTGTTCATGGCAGAGTCTTAAAAATGCATAAACACAACAATAATGCACTGGCAACTCTCAGGCATAAAACTGTAGATGGTCCAAAGTTTCAGGGGATACATATATAGCTAAGGTTTCCATATGTCAAGATCATTTTCTGGATGCCAAAAAGATGAAATATAACATTATGCACTTGAAAACATAAGAGAGGTTTTGCTTTCAAATATGCACAAATGTCACTCTTGTTAGAGGCATCGAGCTTTTTGAGAGCGGTCAGATGTGCCCTCTGCAGAGCAAACCTGTAACCGTAACGACCAATGGCACACATTGTGCTTCCTCAAGTCTCTGTGTGGCCTCACATACTTGGGCTCGTTCACGTTGAGGGCTTTCCCGTCTTCAGTGATCAAAGTCCTGGGTGGTTTCGCTTTCTTCTTTTTCTCTCTGAAGATCGGCAGTGGATAGGAACAAGGGGCAGAGGGGAGAGGAAAAATAAACAAAGTGAATATAAACATAATTAATATGTTTGAGAAACAGTTTAAGAAAATTAATCAGGTATTTGTGAATATATCGCCATTTGCTGTTATGAAGATCTATTTCTTTCTGGGAATCGACAAACAAGCCAGACTTCTGTGCGGTTGCATCGATGTCTACACAGTGAAAATGTGACCAAGACGATCTGCCAGATAATTCGATGGGGGGAAAAACCCTTTTCATGGAACAAACACGTATCAATATTTCAATAGGTGTATTTTATGCATGATTTATTCAGATTGCTGTGAAGTCTTCATTCGTGTATATAGCTTCTGCTTTAGTTAAAATTACAATGCTAAAAATGCCAAGTAGAATCTATTCCGTAGAAATAAAAATACCAGTACATAAAGACCTACGTACGAGGATGGCTGTCACAGCATTCTCTGCAGTGACAAAACCCCGGAACTGTCACGGATTCCCACCAATGGAGGAATGACTGGATCAACTGTGGCATATTCGTGTGGTGACATATTCTGCAGCTATTCAAAAGTGTGTTAGCGCTTTACTTACCAATCTAAAAAGTGATAGAAAATTGCAGATAATGTATTTAGTGAGAACGAGTATATAAAATATAAGTCCGTTTTTGTTTTTCTTTTAAGAGCCCATATCCTGCATTTGAAGAAATGATTCATAGACTTGTAGACGGTACAGAAAGCTGTGGTGGGATCGACTCAAGCCAGTTAACACCCGTCACATCGAAGGGATAGGAATAGTTGGAAAAGAAATAGAGCAAAGAGGAAAAGATTCATGGAATAACATGAAAGAAAAACGTAGAACGTAAGTTCTACATACTTAAAAAAGTATATAAAACTTAAATAGGCATCTACAGATAAGCTCTAGAAGATCGAATGAATAAATTTGTTTAGAGGATGGAATTGTAGGCAATTCTTTGCCTTGGATTTCTATTCTTTTAATATAGATTTTATGACAGTTAACTTTACTGTAAAATATAGATTTATTCATAGTTTTCTGCACCCTAACCTGGGCCCCCAGGTCCAGTAAGTTAATGTTTCCATGAACTACGTTCTTCTCCGTGAGCTGGGACAATGAAGGGGCATCAGAGAGGCGAACCTCGCAGTGCCCCGCTGGCTGGGTAGACCGCAGTGCACTGGACAGAGTGAGTGGACTTTCATCCAAGTCAGCCGTACTATTTTAGGCTGTCATCAGAGAAAGAAAGTTTATCCTGATTTCAGGCTCAATATAATGTAATTTATATATGCCTATACATGTACACATATATAAATATGTGTGCTTATGTGTTTGTGTATACATCAAAAATATAGTACATATCATATAAACATGTACAATTTCCATTTCAAAGGGTTCTTGAGCCTGCAAAGCACTTCTGCATTTATGGCCCACCTGATTCTCCCAACAATGCAGTGCGTTGGATAGGGCAGGTGTGCTAGCCCCTGTTTAACAGGTGAGAAAACAGAGAAGTTAGGTGCTTGCCAGCATCACACAGAGTCAACAGCAGAGTCACAACGTGAGTCCACATTTTCTGATGTTATTCCAATGCTGTTCCCAAAGCACTGAGTGGCCTCTCAGTGTACAAATCACCGAATTTTATAAATGAGCATTTTAGATAAAATTTGATTCTCAATTCTGTACCTCCTTATCTAGCTAATTAATAAAGAAAATTTTATAGAAGCGGCAGAGATTTCCAATTGTTTTTCTGCTCTTTTCGGTTCTTTTCTTGGTTGATAACCACAGGGGAAGAGACTGTTTTTAACCTATGTCCTTGCCAAAAAAGTGTCATTGCCACGAGTTACTGTATTTCAGAACTAACTGATCACATTCCGGAGCTCGTGAATTATAAATATTCGCATAAGTGATACATTTGACATACTAGACTTAAGCAATGACACGGAATGGAATGACACAGAGCCTATCTTTAAAAAAGCTGCTCTGAAAATAATAGCTTAAGCATTCCAGCCTCTAACGAATCGTCACATTTTATCCAAATAATCCAAACGTGAAAATGTTCAAGAGAGTTGTATTAGGAAAAGATAATGCCTAGAAAACTAATTTCTAATTGTTAATTCTGGAAGTTAAAAGAGGCAAAGGGACTCATTCATCTCACCCAGTGGCCTTTTTCTTGGTACTGTGACAACCGTCATCTCTAACCCAGGCCATGCCATTGCTCAACTCATTTAAAGTGATTACAAAACTAAAGATGTACAAACAAAACCCTACCCAAAATGCCATAACTCGTGATATTCTAAAGAAGGTAGTTTGATATGAATAAATGTTAGTGGATACAATTCAACACGAAGCTGAACTCAAAGTTCATGCGTGATGGCTAACAAAGCTTGACACAGATAACGAAGAAAACAATATGCAACTGTGAAAACTGAGTCCATGAGAAAGTGTGACCTCATTCTCAATGACAGGGAAGAAAATGAAATACCTTAATTTTTCTTGGTCTTTCCGTTGTTTTTCCACATGTCTAAGAGTTTCCAGTCTAGATTCAGGAGTAAACAAAGAGGGCTTATTCCAGAATTCCAGGTCATCTTCGCCGTCAGCCAGTTTCTTTTTGTTTTGTTCCCCATCTTGCATCTCTGGTGCCCGGAGGTACTCGTGATTCTCTAGAGAAGATGAGCTAGGAAAGAACAGAGAGACACAGAGCATGTAGGACCAATGATGGATGTTTGAGATGCATCCTTAACGCTGCTCCTTAAATATCTTACATATTTTTCTTATGTTATCTTCTTACCTCGACAAAATGTGCCTCATACAGAGCTTATCTGAGCCAAGCTGGAGGAAATGACAGCCATAGCATTGGGACAGGCTCTTGTCTATCACCAGGACTACTGCAGTACTCAGATCTAAGGGATCACAGACCTGGCTGATGTGAGTCACCTGGGGAGCTTTATAAAAAGTAGAGATTCCTGGGCTCCCACCAGAGTGTCTATTCAGCAGATCTGGGGTAAGGCCCAGGAATCTGTGTTTTACAATATTTTGCAGGAGGTACTGACGATCAGATGAACTCAGGGACCGCTGAGACTTAGCAATACCCCCATCTCCAGTCCTGCATCCCTCAATCCCACACTCTGCACTGCTCCTGGAGAATTGTTCTAACAGGAAAATGAAATCATATTAATACCAGGTTCTTTTAAGATTCTCTAACTCCATAATTCCCTAGTGGGGCATATGAAATCCCCCATGGTATGGTCTCTATCTACTCCATTTTTCATGGGTAACTTCTGGTGTTTTAGCTTTATATGGTAACAGTCCTCTATTCTTTTTTTTTATTTATGTTTTGTGGATTGTAAGAGAATTAAATGATGTCTCTATATGGCTTCAAATGGGTATTATGTGAGATATTAAACATTTGTTCAACATAGATTCGAGAAATATTTATCGAGCATCTTCTGTGTGCCGGGCACCAGAGATACAACCCTCGTCAAGACAGACGACAGTTCCTTTAGGAGATTCTATTCTAGCACAGAGAAAATGACATCATCCAAATGGGAAACACTGGGAACGGCCTCTTTCCCCTGACCTTGTTCTAGAAAATATACTCTGTTGCATAATGATATTAAATGAAAAAATCCACATGGGCTACTCGTCCCCACTGCACCCCATCTCACTGGGCCTCTTCAGGTTCTTTCTGACTTCAGAAATTTGGGCCTGGGAGAATGGATGGGGAGAAACAGCCAAACAATTCCCGCGAAGATGATGCTATTAAACCTTGGCTGTTGGTACCCTCTCTGGGGCTGATGCCCAGTTTCTGGCTTTCTCCTGTGAGCACAATTGTTGGTTCTTGTTGGCCCTCAACGAGAGCCTTCCAAGTACACTGTTCCCTGCCAGAGTGATCCACGCACTACCTGGCTTGTCATCTGTGATAATCCCTCAGCTTCTGCCTTTGACAATCCACCCCATAGTCTCTTATTGCCGGCACACGCTTCGGTGGTGTCCATTCAAGACAGCTCAAGTGCAGCTCCTTCTACCACATGTCCTTGGCCTATGAGATATTCACAAAGCCTTACCGTGCCAAATGCCTGACATGTCAGCTGCTTCCACTGATGCCCCCTTCCTGACCCTTCTACTTGTAGGCTATTCTAGGCCACATTCCATCTTTTCATTCTCCAGGCTGGAAGCAGGCTCTGTCCAGTCAAGAGATGAAACATCCAGCTCCCCTTCTTGAGTCCCTAAACCTCTCTGGTGTTTCTTCCTGCAGCAGAATAGCAGCCGCTTGCTCCTCGCCAACTACGTCAGTAATTCACTATTTCACTATTTCATAGGCTAACTGGAGTGAAAGCAGGGTGATGGCTGAGGGACAGTCAGTCCTGGTGGGGGAGGAAGCAGGCTCTGTAAGGAACCCACCTGCCTGCTTCTACTAAAAGGCAAGGAACAGATCTTTCTGAATGCTTGGAAACTTTTCTAAACCAAAGAGAGGGAGTGATCCCCGACACATTTCATGTGCCTATTATAACTGATGTGAAACACTAGGAAAAAATACAATAAAAAAAGATAATATAGTATAAACTCATTTATAAACTAGGTTAAATATTATTTTAAAATATTAGCAAAATGAATGTAGCGATGCATTGAAAATATATCATATAGGCAAAAATATTGCATATGAACAAAAATATATCATATGGACAAAGTGAGTTTATTCTAGAAATTCAAGAATGGTTTAATACTGGAAAATCTATTAATATGATTTTACACATTAACAGAAAAACATGATTATCTCAATAGATTCAAAAAAGCATTTAATAAAAATCCAGTATCTGTGATGATAAAAGCTCTTGATCAAATAGGAATAAAAAGAAACTTACTTAACTCTACCGAAACGCACAACAAACATTATATTTAATGATGAAAAACTGGAAACATTCTTTTTAAAGTCAGGATTCCTTCCTTTGTAAGGCTGAATAAGGCTCCATCGTGTGTGTGTGTGTGTGTGTGTGTGTGTGTGTGTGTGTGTGTGTGTGTACACACACATACACACGTCTATCTGTTCTTACTGATGCTATTCCATACTGAAGGTCTTAGCAAGCACCATAAGGGAAAGATAAAGCAGAGGTAGAAGAATTAGAGAAAAAATTTAAAGTTGCTGTTTATAAAAAATGTTTTCCTACCTAGTAAAGATAATGTACAGGTTAACTATTGAATCTTTTTAAAAAGTTCAGCAAGATTGCTTAATATCAGTGTATAGAAATCATTTGTCTCCTTAATACATCAGAAAGAACTAATTACAAATCTATTTTTAAAATTCCATTCTACAAGATATTTATAAATAAAACTAATAAAACATGTTATGAGACTTTTATAGAGAAAATGACAAAACCTTCCTGAAGGGCTCAGAAGGCCTAACTAAATAGACAGAGCTATTTATAAATAGTTCAGCAAGGAAAGAACCAATGTCATGAAGATGTTAACTTTCCCATAATTAACATATAAATTAAATGCAATTTCAATCAAAATTACACTGGGGATTTGAGGGGAATTTGAATGGCAGATTTTAAAAATTCTAACAGAAAAGTGAAAAACTAAGAAGAGTCAAGATAATTTTGAATATTGAGAATATCTCCTACCAAATAGCAAGATTTACCATAAATCTATAGGAATTAAAACCATGTGGAGGTGCTCCATGGAGCAATCTAGGGTAGTGGTGCCCAACCTTTTAGGCACCAGGGACCGGTGCGCCTGTGAAAATCTGATGCCTGATGATCCGAGCTGGAGCTGAGGCGGTGATGCTGGAGCTGGGGAGCAGCTGCAAATACAGATGAAGCTTTGCTCCTTTGCCTACCTCTTACCTCCTGCTGTGTAGCCCAGTTCTTAACGGGCCATGGATCAGTACCAGTCTGCATCCCAGGGGTTGGCAGACTCCTGGTCTAGGGAACCCAGAAATGTACCCATGAACACACAAGTAGAGGCCATATGGTAAGGGTGGCATTATAGGTCAGTGGGAGAACCGCACCACCTTAATAAATGGTGCAGAGACCATTAGTTATCCATGTGGGAAATGACTAGTACCCCACGCCTACACTGTAGTCAAAAGTTAGTTCCAGATAGATAAATATGACACTGGAGTAATGAAAATGTTCATAAACAGCACCAAAGAGTACAAAGCTAAGTTTAACTACATAGATGTTTCTTAATTCTATAAAATAGAAGCACTTTTTAAAATTAAAGATGAGTCATGACTGGAAGTAGATATTTGCAAAGCAAGTAACTAACTACAAAAGAATTTTCATCCAGAACATAAAAGAACAATAAGTCAATAAGAAAAAATGTACAACTCACTTAAATAGGCAGAAGACGTGAGGAGAACCAAAACAGAAGAAATTTGAACAGCCAATAAACATAAGAAGATATTCAAACTCACTAGTAACTCTAGAAACACAAATTCAACATCAGGTGCTATTTAACAGCCAACTTGACTGGCCAACGTTTTAAAATATCATATTATACAGTACTCTCCTATACTGTTGATACATGAGTATAAATTAATATACTTTAGAAAATAATTGGGTAATTAATGCATATAAAGCTGAAAAGATGTTCCTAACTGATAATGTGGCCATGTCGCTACTGAATACTCTAGAGAAATTTTACACCTGCACAAGGACACACGTGCAACATTGTCTGAAAACATGGAAGAAGGAAAGCAACCTAAACGGCCACGCGAGGAGGGATGGCTACAGTGGGGTGGACATTCAGCTGGCAGCCGCCAGGAGGGCCACGCGGGTGGCTGGAGCCGGTGCGCGCTCCGATCAGGGCCGATGAATCACTAGCTGTTAGACACTTTGACTATCACCTCTGCGATACATTGTGATTTAGTCGTCCCATAGATTCCACAGTTAGAACGAATGAACTAGTGCTCTACGTGTTCACATGTGTAAATCTCAAAAACACAATGCTGAACAAAAAGCAGAGCCGTTTCTTAGCATGAAAGATAATCATTCATGCTAAAAAAAGAAAAACGCAACAAACTACTCTTATCCAGGAGGCATATGACATAGTAAATATGTTAAAAAATACGAATGGGATCAACGTATACGAAATGCATACGAACTGTAGGATGGCAGACGCTGCTGGGGTCGAAAGGAGAAGAGGGCAGTGAAGGCCACTCAGGGGCTTCCGCCCTCCCAACGATATTTTATTTCTTATTTTGTAGAAGATCCAAAACCAACAATGCAAACTATTGACATTTATTAAATCTGGATGGTGGAGCTATAGATGCTTATTTACTTTTTTTAACATTTATGTTTGTCTGAAAATTTTATAATATGATTTTCTTGAGTTTAAGAGATGCTGTTATCAAAATATTTAAAGCTTTTACTTTGAAATCAAATGAAATCAAATGAACTGACTATAGATGCAATTCACTTAAACAAGCATAAAAAAAACATGTTTGTAAAAAAAACCCATTAGAGGCTTATTAATCACATTAAAAATATATTCATTATATAATTCACAAAACAGCGCATTTTATGATGCAATCAAAAGTATTCAATTTATAATTATGTGACTTGTATTTAACGTTTCTAAAATATTCCCACTTTACAAATCAAAGTGTACACCTGTTAATTCATCTTTACGATGCATCTTTGAGAGAGAATTTTGTTGGAGGATAAGTTTGGATGCAAATTAAAATCGCAAGCTTACAAAGACATTTTTTCTAAGGGAAGAAAGCCTCACAGAATTGTCACAGATAGTGGAGCACTCACCGTCTTCCCTCCAAATTCACATACTAATATATTCTCCCAATTAATCGTCTGGAATATAAATGCTACTGTGAACACCTTAGGAAAAGAGCAGTTGGCTGCTTTGCACAGAAGTTAACTCAAAAGCGAACTCTAATAATGTACATACAGATAACGCCAATGTCTGTGTTCCCACGTACCAACGTCCATCAGAGCCTGGGTGACTTTCCTCTGCTTCTTTTTCATGCTCTTCCTGCAGCTTCCGCTGAGCTTCTTCCTTGTCTTTGGCTCGTTTGAGGAAGTAAGCTTTCTCCTGCTCTCTGATTTGTTGTTCAATTACTGGAAAGTTCTGTAATGCCTGAATCCTTTCTGAACGTTCTATTTCTTTACCATCCAACCACTTCGATAAAAAACAACCAGTACAGAACAATTATTCGAAATTGCAATTTGAATCTGCACCACACTGACTTTGATTGGAATATTTCAAACTTAGAAATAATAACTCATGCACCAAAATGATATGGAATTAAAAGTCACATACTTAATGGGAAACAGCAGAAACTTTGATCTTGAAAGTCAATGTTTATTTCATACAATTAACAGTTTGCAAACTGTCTTTACTGATAATAATAAGTAGGTCCTCTGTTGAAACTAATCATTAATGAATGACAAGCTCTCAAAATACACTAATTTTATAACTACTCACTAGACCAAGGATTGAATGCCCCAAGTCAAACCGTAGCTCTAAAGTATAACGATGACCCTTGCCACACGCTCTCTATAAGGAAGGGCCTTGTCCACGACACAGAACTGGGCTCTAATACATATAAACCCACGTCTACCCTTCTGTATTATTAATTGTTATGGTCACTGTTTACATTGGTATTTTTATAGTGATTTTTGAAATTGAAATATTCAAATAAAAAAATCAATATAAAATCTGAAGTTTAAAACTACCAATTTAAAGATACCTATTTATTACCCAGCCTCATTCTACAAAAAGAGGTGAGGCATTTAGAAAGGCGTCATAGGCGGAAAAACGCCCCTCCTCCCAAGAATGGACGTGCTCTAATTCCCGTGAATATTACCTTATATGGCAAAAGGGACTTTGCAGATGTGATTAAGAGTAGAGTGGGCTCCTAATCCAATACGACTGGTGTCCTTATAAAAAGAATGCCATGGGAAGAGACAGAGACACAGGGGAACGCCATGTGAAGGTAAAGGCAGAGAGAGAAGGGATGCTTCTGCATTCCAAGGGACATCAGACATGGCCAGCGACCACCAGACGCTGGGCGAGGAGCGTGGAACAGTCTCCTCACAGCCCTCAGAAGGAACCAACCCTGCTGACTGATGCCTTGATCTTGACCTTACAGGCTCCAGAACAATGAGACAATAAACCTCTAGGGTTTAAGCCACCCAATTGGTGGTACTTTGTTACGGCAGCTTCAGGAAAATAACACATCTTTAACATGATTCCTTTCAAGTAGGTCACAAGCTTTCAATAAAATGGCAATTAAGAGTCTAAAGTTTATCGACCTATTTTTAAACAATAGTAAACACGTTTATGAATGCTATTTTTCAAAGAGAGGCGGCTGCCTCAAGGAAGAGCTGAATTAGTCATCTACTAACAGTATCACCGCCTTAAAAAACTCGTTCTGGAGGCTGCACAGCGAGCCGGAGAGGAGCAGTGGGAGTGGCACGGTGTGCACGGGGCGCTGTCAGGTGCGAATCCCACCTGAGTCGCTTGCCAGGTAGGTGAGCTCCAAACAGAGGGTCTGGCCCCTCACATCTGCAGGGCCGCTGCACCACAGGGCCCGTTTCCGTGATATTCTGGCTCCCGTCAGTTCATTTTCTAAGGAAGTCATTGCTCATTGATGATCAACCTGGATTATGTTTGAACTAATTGATCATTTATTCTAAATATACATTCTACGTTCGATTACTGAGTCACTCATTCTCTTAGAGAAATTTACATGGGAAGAAATGCATCCCATTATCCCAGAAATTTCAACTACACGGAACCCAGCAGTCTGAAAGCCGGTGTCCTCTGAGGATTGAAGAAAATGCCTGCAGGAAGCCGAGGCGTCCGGGCATCTCGCAGAAGCGTGGGGCCTCGTGCAGGCCAGGAACTCTTGGAATCGCGTGAAAATTAACATTACGACTTTAATATGCTCAGGTGTATGATTTCTCTAGAAACTATATGCTTTTCCCTAGTTCCAAAAATATCAGATTAGGAGAGCTGTGGCCTAAGAGACCAACACGGAGTAGTGGAGCTCGAAGGAGCCCCCTGGACCAGCAGCGTCAGCATCACCTGAGAGCTTGTCCGAAACGCAAAGTCTTGGGTGTCATGTCAGACCCACTGCACCAGAAACTCTGGGGGTGGGCCCAGCAACCACCACCAAGGATTCCAACACATACCAAAGTCTGAGAACCGCTAACTTAGAGAACGAGTTGATAGAAAGCAACAATAAAATAATAATAATTACAAAAGCACAGTGGTTTAAGACTATGAAATACAAAAAGTACATACAACTGTAGCCATCTGAAAATCCCTAAGCTTTTGGTTTGTTATTAGAAATGCTGAATGATCCTCAAAGCAACAAGGTGAACTCATCAAGAAATATGTCAAGTTAAGTTCTGTGTGTTGCGAATGAGAAAGGAGAGAAGTATGTAATTTATTTTTCCGAGATTTGTTAAAACAATTAAAACAATGTTAAAGGCTCAGTAAGTCAAAGAATTGGTTCTGATTCTCCGGAGTATTTCATTCTCTGAAGCAACATGTTCCGTGACAATACCGTGAGTAAATCGGGAAGCCCTGCAGCTGGTTTTCAGTACTGAGATGTCTGCATCAGTGGAACGAGCATACCTTTAACTGCTGAAGAGTAGCCACCACGAACTGCCTGTAGCCATCGAAGTCTGCACATGGGTTTCCCATGAGAAACAGCTCCTTCAGGTGGATGTTGTGCTGAAGGCTTTTAATGCTGCTCAGCTCGCCGATGAAATTTATAGTCAAGTCAAGTTTTGTCAGCTCTTCGCATCCTGTTGAGAGAAGTGTAAAGCAAAAGAAAAAACAAAACAAAAAAAATCACATTGGCAATAAAATGTATGCATCGGCACATAAAAGCAGCAGCAGTTGCCATGTTTTAAGTCTGCCGATTCCTAGCGTTGCTTACCGATTCCTATCTCTCTCTCTCACATCCTTGCTCTGTGTCCTTAGAAAAGCTACGAGCCTCAGCCGTCCCGTCTATAGAATCCTAACAGTATTGGTACCCAGTTCGGTGGATTGTTGTGACGATAACAGCAGACGAGGCATGGAAAGCACCGAGCACAGCGCCTTCCACCCAGAGCGCTTCGGTAACTGTCCGCTAGGATCAGAAGCGGCCCTAGGAGCGCTTTTCTCACTGCGGCTTCTCACGCGATGTGCCTGCAGGGAAAGGAGGCTGCTCGCTGTCGCAGGAGCAGAGTTTGCAGTTTCTTGCTGTGAACCAAGGAAGAGTTGACCTGGTTTGTACTGAAGCCCCTGTGGGTGAGGTTCACATGAGGCTGTCTCTTCCTGCGACTGGCTCACGCTTGTTGGATTGACATGGCAGATTTTGCCACGTTCAATATCTCGAGAGTCATCTCTAGCGGACGACCCGGCTCCACCTTGCTCTGTACTCATTCCTTCAAACTTCTACGCACTCCACTCTTCTCATGTGCTTCCCGATTATGCACTGCTTTTCTGTCATTGTTTTGTGGCTATGTAACTTAGGGTGAGTTTTGGTTCCTGATATATTAAGCTCACCAAAATGAACTTGATTCAGATTGGTTCATAGCTCCACAACCATGTAACCTTCGGCAAAGTTATTCTCATTTCCGAAGGTTACAGATGGTGGAACCGATTTTATTAAATGATAGTGTTCTCTCCCCATTATCCTTTCTTGATTCCGGCACCTGACTCCACCTTCTCTAGAATTCCATGTTTTCCTCCCATCCAGTCATATCCGAAGCCAGTCTCTTCCAAATAGGCTAGCTCTGCCTTAGTACTTCCAGGCTCAGCACATGTCCACAGCAAAGACAGCCCTCGCCCTGCTCATGCTCTGACACCCCGCTTTTGGTGCTCCTCCCACGTGGATTCCCTCTTCACCCTGCTTGCTCTCATACCTCTTCCTGGGTGTCACGTGAGGGCGCCTCTCTCCCTTTCCTAGGCTCGACTCCCCATGTCAGGCTGCCTTTCCAGAATGCTGCCACGCTGGCTGTACTCAGGTTGTGACACCCATGGTTGATCCAGGTCTGCCCAGCTGAAAGCCTCTTTGAACTGGTACATTGGAAGGTCTCTTGGCCAATGTTAGCCATTTGTTAATAACATCATGAGCACCTTAAAGTTCTCGAGCTACAGCTCTGTGGAATACAATTTTGGGTCTATAAGTATAAGCAGCTGTAGTCACACCCGTCTGACGGGTGGGCCAGTGCTGGTCCCGCCTGTGATTCATGGCAAGGCTGGAGAGAGCCAGACCAGCCTGGAGGAAGCCCGGAGGGAGAAAGGCCCGAGGTCGGATGTGGGTCAGCACCGATGAGTGCCACCTGTCTTCCCAACAAATGCTAATTCCAAACACCAGTCGCCATAAATGGGTCCAAATCCCGTATCTCATTATGAGGCCCCGTTATGTGATATAAAAATATAAACGGGGTGAGTAGAAGGGAATAGAGAACCTCGGGGGCCGTGTGAGAGGCCAAAACCTGCATCTTCCACATCAAGAAGTCAACAGATGAAGCCAAAAATGAGAATATCAATGAATAGCAGAAAAAGCACAGTCTGAGCACACCGCTAGAAACACACAGCAGAACGAGGCGGGTTGGGAGCGGTCGGCCACCTCTGGGGCAGGGCTTAGGGGGCCGCGGGCCCTGACAGAACACTGCTGCTTTCCCGCATAAGCACAAGGAGCGCTTTGACTTTTTAAGTTGCATATTGAATTACTAGAGTCAATATATTAGTCATTAAAAAGACGGATATCCAAAAACAAACACTTTTATATATTCTAGATTCTATGACATAGGTAAGGAAAATCCAGTAACTTCACATCTTCAAAAACAATCAAATAAATGAAAAGGGACAACAAAATCTCTATTTCTATTAAATTAGTAAAAACAGAGACAAAATTTTGAAAAAAATTGCCAAGCCTATAAGATAGCGATTATTCTCTTTAGTAATCAACCTGACAGTACATGTAATGGGCTTTGAGATGTTTCTGCCCCAGGCCCAGAGTTTCATTTGGATGCATCGACTGAAAACAGGTAATTTGTACAAAGCTGTTCAGAACAGTTCTGTTCATGATAGCAAACATAATTAAAAACACTTCAAGCACCAAACGGTAAGGAGTTATTTAAAAAAACATCAATATACTTGGAAATTCAGTCGTTAAATTATAAAAATGTGGACTCAGCCACTATAAGAATGAATATGAAACTACACATGAATGTAAATATAATTAAGTTTATATTTCCATATCTGTGGGCTTGTTCTACACTGGCAAAAAATGTTAGATGGATTTCATGAAATGTGAAAGATATATTTGGAGTACTACGACTTATATATATATTTTATTTATATTTATATATATTTTAAATTATACTGAGATTTACTTAAGCAGGTGAGCTGAATATATCTTCCTCTTCTCTCACCTTGAACCTTTAAAATTAAGCAAAAAGTGCGTATCTGCCAGCAGATAAGACGCCTATCCCCTCCCCCCAAAACATATCCTCAGACTGCGCAGTGCCCAGTGCATCCATATCAAGACCTGGAAGGTGGACACAGGGAAGACGCATCCAGGTAAACGACCTGAGATGGACTATGGACCCTGATTCCTAAAGCTCAGAAAGACAACAGTGACGATGCCGCCCCCTAGTGGTGGACGGCCAGAACACACCGCAAAAATAGAACTTTCCCCATCCTTTTGGATACTTCCTTAAAAATAACAAGCTCTAGACAAGCCAATCAAGAGTGAGAGTTTTTAATGATTCCTTTGACATTTCAGATTGGCAATTTACTACCACAAAACACGGGCACTGAGCAAACTCTGTTGTTCCGTTCGTTCTCATGAGAACACGGTCACAGAGCTGTGGAGTGGGAGCTGGGAGCGGACAAGGACTCGGCTTCTGATGAGAAAAATGCCAATCGTGGAGGGAGTCATCTCAATTCCAGCACCGATGACAGGTGTGGGGCTTTGGCAGTGATGATATTTCAGGTTTTGAAGATGAGAATTTTAAATGTATGATGAATATATGTAACTTTGATAGTCACTGGAATACCAATTTCTACACTAGGGGGTAAATCGGCTAAAATCTACCATAGCCTAAGTAAAATCCTCCTAATTTTAGCTCCTGGCAGATGGGAGTGGGGTGGAGAGAGCAGCTTGCCTGCCTCTGCTCGGTGCCCCTGCTCGCTGAAGCAATGCCTGCCCGCCGTCCCGCCCACTCACACAGAGCCCACAGCAGCCCCGCCAGCCAGGCAAGAGGCTGGAGGGGCAAACGCCACCTCACAACTGCAGAAGCGCTCACACCAGCCCCCTAATCAACCAAAACCAAATCCTCTGCTTATGAAAAGACCCCACGCTTTACCAGACATTCAGCAAAAAATAATAGCACAAAATAGAAGCCTCCAAGTACAACAGGAAACCTTCCAGGACACAGCACGATAAGACGAAGAGGTTTACATCAGGAATGCAGGTTAGTAGGCACAGAAGATCAATCTAGTGCAACCAAAGTATGTATTTAAATTCGAGGGGAGATGAGAGAAAACAGAGGTGATGGATGTCTATGATCGTGGTGATGGCTTCACAGGTGTGTGCACACATCCAAGCTCACCTGCGTGCATTAAGTACATGCAGGTTTTTGTATGTCAATTATATCTCAAAAAAGCTATTATTTAAAAAAAGAATAATTGTGCTCCAAAGGACACGATCAAGAAAATTGACAAGAAAACCCACAAAATGGGAGAATATATTGTTTAAACAATTCTGTTTAAATCGAATTTTAAAACTTAATTTTAATTCACAAGAAAACAAAAAACTCTTACCTTCCAAATTTTCAATTTTTTCAATGTTGTTTAAAGCTAAATTCAAATATTCAAGTTCCTTGAGTTTGCTGACATTTTCTGAAATATATAAATAATGTCATTAACCTTTGAGACAAAAGACATTTTTACAAAATCTACTGTTACTATGATAAAGAGAATCTCAGAACTATGGCTCTCAAAACCATGTTGCTTTTTCATATCTATACCTGTACATCACACACTGTTGGTTACCTATGCAAAATCCATTTCTCCCTCAACCCTCCCTAATGAAAGCCAGTTCTGCTCATGTCTGTACCCAGCCACAGATCCAGGGGTTAGGCTTAACCAAGCTGGGCCAGTGCATGGCAATCCCATGTCCCTTGCTAGTGACAGCTCAGGAGCTCGGGCTTAAGCCAACCAGCCCACGGCAATCTCCTGGCAACCACGTGATGCAGGAGAGGGCATGCGCACTAACACTCCCGGCCAGATGGAAAGGTAAGACCTGTATTCCATGCTTGGGGATTTCCTTTCTTTTTTTTCCTGCTGGATGTTAAAAAGGGAGGCAGTAGTATCCCTACCGACACTCACAGTCATCTTGCGACCAGGAGGGAACCGACTCTAGGACGACGCCCACCATGGCTGTTGGAGCAGAGAGAAGGAATCGACCAACCGAGAGATAGAGCCTGCCCTATCTCTAGACTAACAGCTGGGTAAGGCATTAGATGTTCTTACTGGAAAGCCACATTGAGTTGGGTTTTCCTATACTGGAAGCCCAAATCATCCTGATATACGACTGTCGTTTTTTTCTAAAAACCCACATAGACAAAACAATAAACATAGGTAAGTCGAGGCATCACCGCAGGATGCGGCCTTTTAAAAACAGGTAATACCACTACAGCTAACGTCGCTGAGTGCTGATCATATGCCACGTAACTGTCTAAGCATTTTGCATATGCCATGTCATTAACCCTCATGATAGCCCTATGAGGTAAAAACTATTACTGTCTCCCTTTTACAAATGAGAATTCCAAGGTGCGAAAGATTAATCCACTTGTTCAAGGTTAAGTGGTCAAGGCAGAAAGTGTGACTGCAGAACTTGGCAGTAAATCATTACACTAGACCTTGAAAGAACACTCCTTTCTAAGTCGGCACGAATGTAAAAACCCTACTGAGGGGTGTCCGTTTGGGCAGCACCACTTAAATAATGCTTCTTCCACCCACTTGTCAGGAATATTTTGAAGATCAAATATGATTATAATCATCGCCCTTAGCATCATTGCATTTCATTTAAAATTTACAAAATATCATGTATTTGTTCCCATAGATCTGAGAATAAGTTTTCCTTTCCAAGCTTCAGTTTACTCATTTTTTAAAATGAGGTTTTTAGAAAAAATTACTCAAGTGGCTCTCAGCAATCAGATCATCCTAAGCAATACTGATGTTCAGTGAAGACTCTCGCTGCACATCTGAGCATTCAACAGCCGACAGATTTGTAGAGCTCTTTGTGCCAAAGACTATATGATACACGGGAGTGCCCGGTCTGCATCCCGAACAGAAACGCTCCAAGTTATCACTGTTAAAATTGCCAGCCCCACAATAAAATGCCTCTTCCTTTCCCACATTTGTTATGTATACAACGCTCTAAATGCTAAAAGAGTCATCTGGGAGAAACATAGAGGTAAGATATGTTCCAAAAGTCCTAAATTAACTCCTCAAGGACAACGGGCCAAATGGGTCAGGAAAAAAAAAAAGCCTGTAAAAATGTATAGAGCCTCTTGGGCCACAGGAAGGGAGTCTGTACCCCGGAAGCAGCTCCTCTGCCAAGACAGAGCAGTGGATCGACTCTCCACCCCCAGCCCATGTGGCTCTGGGGTGCCCAGCTTTGCCCAGGCCAGAGGCTCCTGGGAAGTCAGCACAAATGCAAATTCCTGGAGCCCGCTGCCACAGACGGATTCTGAGTCAGCAGGGCTGGGGTGGGGCCTGTGTCCCACTTTCACAGGACTCCAAGGGTCACGGCTCACACCTGGCCCACACTAAGCAGAGCCTGCCCCCAGCCCATCTGTATCGCCCAAGATGGAGCAGACGCTCAGGAAGGGCATCCGGTTTCACAAACTTCCACCTCAAGGGCACGAGAGCAAGTCCGAGTCCAAGAGGAGCAGTTTCGCTGGCTAAATAAATGCCTGAGAGCCTGTGGGTGGGTAGCACTGAGAAGTCCGATTCAAATTTAAAAGGGTGTTTAATTTAAGAATACTTTGGAAGCAAAAATGTAAGCCTTCTCCCAGCTCTGAAAAGGCCTGAAATACTATGCTACTAATTAGTGATTGTGATGGACCCAGCTGTGGAGATTCAAATTTCGAGAACCCTTTCAGATCAGGACAATTAGGACAGCTCTTTAAGGCCGCCACGCACGGAGGCTGGTGGCTGGCTGTCTGCAACAGCCTTTTACTGAACAATGTGGCAGAGTTTCCAATTTCTGGTAAAGTAAAAGATGCTGAAAGTGATTATGTGAAATGTAAGGAATCTAATAAATATTCAAAAAAAAAAAAAGATGCAAATTCCAGGCTTCTTGCAAGCTTAGAGTCGATTTTGAATTATCCACCAAGCGAGAGGCAACCACATCACCAAGTTTTCCCAACGCCAGCAACAGCAACGTTACAGGCTGGTAACTCTTTCTTGCGTGTGAGTGCCGTCCTGGGCATTGCAGGAGGGCTAGCAGAATCCCTGGCCTCTGCACATGGATGCCATTAGCAGTCCTCGCACGCACGCACACACACGCATGCACGCACACACACGCACGCACACACATGCATGCACGCACACACACATGCACGCACACACACGCATGCACGCACACACGTCTCCGGACGTTGCCACAGGCCCCTGCTGAGAGTGCCTGCACATCGCCCTGGAAAGTGCAAAGCTGGCCTCCGGGCTCAATGCGGAACAGCAGGGGCTGGTGCTCCTTGTGCCTCGCCTGCCCCAACCCTGTCCCTGCTCCTCCAACTCTGCTCGGTTCTCCGTCCTGCTCAGACCTCAGTGGGGCTGGCTTGGGGCGCATGGGGTAAATGACAATATTAATGACAGCAGCAGAAGAGCTGTTCTGTTAGGTGTTATTATCCCTGTTTGACAGCGAGACTAGGACTGCCACGACCTCACTGCCTCGCCTCGCTTCCCACGGCTGCTAAGTGGCAGAGGCGGGGCTCGAACCGGGTCTACCGACGCCCGGGCCTGCCCCTGCTCTTACCACTAACCACCTTCCTGAGTGTTGAGGGACACTCCTCCTGTTTCCGTGTGGCAGGACCCCCGTTAGTGACTCCACAGGCCTCCCTTCTCCCTGCCCCTGGGGGGTTGGTGGGGAGGACTGACTTATGTGATGGGTGACTGGGACCTGGAACTGCACACGCCTGTCCCACCTTCTCTCCTGGCTTCTGGGATCTCCCTGCCAGCAGAGGGCACGCAGGCTCCTCCCGCTGCTGCCATAAAGCAGGGTCCCCCCATGGGTAGGGGAGCCTGTGGTTGTCCACTTCGGCACGTGACTGGGCAAACAGGCTTAATTCTGGGGGTAGTAGTACGAAGCCCGCTTGGCTGCAAGTCTAAACCACATTCTCCAATGAGTTTTGCCAACTAAAATGCTGATATTTTGATCTTTATCCACATGACTCCTATATTTACCTCTCGTTTCATTCCAAGCTAGAGCAGTAAACAGGGTAACTTGTGGAAGCCCCTCAACACCTGATGCTGAGGACAATGCCTTGCACATACACGTTCTCAACACGCCTGGCAGAACTAGCGACCACAGTGACTTGACAAGGATGTGCTCAATTCCTACAAAATCCTTCCGGTTTCCCGGAGTGATGTAAAACCATGACAAATGTCAGGATTACGTCCTCCTTTTCAAATTTTTAAAAACCAGGCTACAGACGAGCAAGTCAACTAAGGTGGCCCCCGCCTTTCTGCTCTTCCCAAGTCCTTTACTGAGACCTCAGGAGCAAGGACCACACACGGAAAGGTTCAGGCACGCTCCACACACAGCTGCTGAGAGGCTGTGTCTGTTTCCCCATGCAATCCTTTCTCGGCCACCACTTCCTGTAAGAATAACGCTGCCTTTCCTAAAGTTCTCCCATTCAAAACGTCCACGAGATCATGAGAACGAAGTCCTGAAAACTTACCGATTTTCCCAATGAGATTGTTTTGAAGGTAGAGGATTTTCAAGTGCCGGCACCATCTGTCGATGTGCTCTAGTCTTTCTATTTCTTGCTGATGCAAGGAGAGCTCCTCCAGGGAAAAAATCACACAGTCGTTGTGCTCTGCATTCCGTCTAATAAGATCTTCTGTGACTGAAAGAAAGTTTGTTACCTATCACACTGCGTCCCCGTGTCCCTCATCAGGTTAGTACATTACTGCTGCATTGGTTTTTCTTCACAGTTAAATGCCAATTTTCCAGGCCCAGGTGAGTTTCAGAGGAGTGCTGCCCCCTGCTGGAGGTTTTCTGACACCACAGTGAGTCAGAGGGAAGGACGACATGATACTGTACGTTTTGTCTCTTTAGTGCAGGGTCTACACACATCTTGCTGTATGGATGGAGACAGATGGTGGCAACGACTATAAAGATGCTGATATGGAATCTGGTGGTGGTGTCATGTCGAAGTGATGAGACCCACTAAGTAAACCAAGAGACAGCCACTTGCTATTGAGAAGTCAGGCTGACCGAGGGCAGAAATATGAAAGCATCTCCTACCACGCAATAAGGAAACATTCCCAGATTCTGCACTGCAATCTTATAAATCTTATAAATGGACCGCCACCAACCATCGCAGAAGCTGCTCACAGGAGAGTCTCATCCCCAATGATATGCAGCTCAGGGCTGGCCTGATGGTGGCACTAAGGGACTGGTATTGTGGACAATACCCTGGTGCACCGCTGGAGCCAAGAACAAGGCATAAGTCATCTTCATAAGATGCACTAAGATCAAGGAAGTAATGACAAAGGAGGAACCCTGCCTTTCCAGTGCTGCTAAAAATACCTGCCAATCCATTTGAACCCCGCATCTTAGGATTGCCCTTCCCAAGAGATAATATTCAGTTATTGCCCATTTACAAGGTGCCAGGCACTGTCCTCAGTGCTCTGCATGTAACATGTGAATGGGTAGATACCGATGTACATGTGTCAGGTGAGCAGTGGAGGCAGAGAGGGCTTTGAACCCGTCCAGGGTCTCGGTAGGGAGTCCTAGAGCCTCGTTTCAAATGCAGGAGTCTGGCGCCTGACCGCGTGCTCTTAAGTGCTATGCTACACTGCCCCCAACACAAGCAGAGCAGCAGCCTTGGAGATGGCTCAGGCTCCCAGATGTGCAGGCCTCTTGGGCTGAGACAAAATTTGTCACAGCGCCGTCAGGGCCCCACGTCCGTGCCACCTCCTTAGAGTCTGCTTTTACTAAAAAGCACGGAAACATGCATGAGCTCCATCACCCGCGGGCAAGTAGCCGAACCCTCCTTCTGGTGTTAGGAGGTGGGGTGGCTGGCAACGACAGTTCTTTGGAAGAAAGGCTAAAGGAAACATGGAGGTCGAGAGATTAAAATACCATACGTGAGGGCTGTTCTTGCTGCTCTAAGCTCTGGCTCGACTACCAGGCCGATGGCTGCAAAACAGCTTCTGGGGTGGGGTGGCCTCAAGTGGCTGGAAAGGAAGGTGGCTACGAGGGCAGCCTGGCCGGTCCTGGCTCACCGGGGCCCCTACTGCCGGCCACACTCCGCTGCCTCTGGGCGCCACTGCTAGGAGATAAGCCAGCTTAAATAGACCGCTCTATTTAGGAAAAAGAAAAGAAAACTTCCCCAAAACTAAACCTCTAAAAGAAGGACATTAAAACTACTCTCCAAATGTCCCGCCACCAAAGCTGGCTCTAACGGTAAATCAACCGATAATGAATAGATGGGTACAGCCAAGGTGAGGATACAGCAAAGCTGCCATGTAAAGTCAGTGTATTTATCTGTTATTATCTGCATCTGTAGTTTAGTTACAAGGATTCTCTTAGCAAGGATGCAACACTGGCTGAGATGGCACAGCCAGTGTCATTTCAGATAACTTAATGAGATGTGGGGATTAGTCACTCTGTCGAAAAGACCTCTGATGACTAACGGTGTATACATGATGTACACTACACAAATCCATGGGGGGAGGAGACTTTTGGGGGCCTTGCTATCATCTGACCTGGAGTCAATGGGGTCAGAGGGACGTTCCCGTCCAGAGCCTGTGCCCTTCCAGAGCCTACAGCTTTCCCCTAGACCATGCCCCAGGTAGAGGGGCAAGGGAATTCTCTGCTCACGTTGCCCCAGCCTGCCTCCGAGCCCGGCACTGGCCGCTTCTCCAGGCTCATTCCCCATCAGATATGCATCTCTATATCCAGGGGTGTCCAAGGAATAGCTGTTTGCCAGGAATGCTGGGTGACTTGGTGTGTAGGCAGCAGAAATTTTCATACATGGGCATGAGGAACCAGGATAGAGCCAGAGGTGGGATGAGGAGGGAGGGGCGGGCCAGGGAGCCAGCTCTCCCCAGCCACCATGTTCTGGCACAGAATTCAAGGAGTCCGAGAGGCTTACAGTAAATGTAGCTTTCTGGGTCCTTATAGCGACATTCTTCTAGGGAGGAAAATGTATTTTACTTGGCAGTTTGGTTACAACCAGATACATAGCCATCAATTTATATTCTTTCCCAGATCCCCACTTGCCCCAGAAGGCTTACTGGGGAACCATATTAAAGACATAAACCTAGCCAGAACTCCATAAGAGCTATCTTCTATAGGCACGGTTAAGTCCAATGTGTTCAGGGGAATTCTGAAGGCATCTTGCTAAGCATCACTTGGTCTCTGGCCTGGAATGGCTACATAAGCATCTGCACAGCCCACAGAGGGCTTCCTGGATCTCGGAGACACTGAGGGTATCACAGGCTCCTCCAGCTCTACAGTCTTAAAGGCTTTTCTGATTTGTTCCAACCAAAAGACTTCCAGGTTCCTCCAACTGTTGACAAAGTTCCTATGGGTACCAAATAACCCTTGCTACGTTCTCTTGCTATCCCTTTCTTAAAATTAACAACAAAAACAAACAAACAAACAAAAAAACCTTTTAATTATGCTATTATATACGTGAATTGATCATTTCTATGCAATTGTCAAATCTTTGCTTGGCTTCAGGGCCATGTAGATAACAGGAGGGAATTTTGTTGATCCATCTCCTAATCGTGAGAATTATGATAAAAATCACTATTAGTTGAAAAGATGAGGGAGTAGGGGAATCTCCGTAGTATAAACGACCAGTTTACACACATGGACACACACAAGGGAGGGGAGGGGCTAAGAGTTCATTCAGCACAGTGGGAAGTTGGCCCAACAGCAACAACTACACACAATCAGGATAGAGTAAAATGAAACGGAGAATCAGAGGAGGCAGAACTGTGGAGGTCTCCAACTGCCCAGTGGCCCTTTACTCAACTCTTCTATGCTAAGCAAACTGTGTAGCATTCCCTTTTATACAGCACTCGACACTCGTCACACAACACCGCCTGACCTGTAACGGCAAACGTCAGTGCAAAACCCAGAGTCTCCGAGAAGAAACGCATAAGAACATCCGCACGGTGCATGGAGATTATCGTGTTTCGTGCTTTTGAATGGGAGAGCATTTTGCAGTTTTGGATACGACATGATTTAGATGAAACATCCTGTAACTCCAAGGAGCACTAGTCATCTTTAGAAAGTCCTATTCCAAATAATACGGCACTGCGTTTATAAGAAACCATTCTAGGGATTTAAAAATGCCTTAGAAGCACTAATACGTCACATAACAATCCCGAGAGCGGTGGTATTACAATGCCTGTCATATGGCATAGAGAGCATGCCAAAGTACCACGTGCAACGTATTGCTTTCATTCTCTTATTCAAATAGCAAAGTACAGGACTCAGATGGATTCTGAGAAAGGTTTCACCCATCGACGGTCCTAACCAGCAGATGCCTGACTGATGGAGCATCTGACAGTTATAACCACAGATTCATGCTTATGTCACTAAAATAACTCTGCTGAAGAATCCAAAAGTTTAACCCAAACTGATCACTAGCTTAGGCTTCTTTTCAATTCCTTAATATGACTGGGTCCCCGCTTACTCGAGGGAGTGCCAAGAAAATGACTTGCGAAGTAGGGAGGCAAAGGGCAGGAGAAGGTTTCTGAAATACTGGAGGTTGCCATGCTGTGTTTGCTTCCACAAAGCTTTTCAGCGTATTTAGCAAAGTTCTAGAAATTTCCAAAGCCAACAATTTAGTGTTCATTCTTTAAGGCTTTATATCATGTTTTGTACACAGCCCTCTCTTTCTCACTGGATTACGATAAAACCAATAATATATTTTATGGCAGATTTAAACATCTTGAAAGACTTAGCAGATACATATCTGAAATAGAGATTTACTAGAAAAGAAGGGGTTACAAATAGGTGAAGGTTACCTCTTGAAGCAACTAAGCCCTTTTTTCTTTTACTGTTTTCAAAGGAAACTTTTAAAAAAAGGATCACTCATCTGACCTGCCTTTTCTTACCGAGCCAGTGTTACAATGAGCATTGGTAGCCATACTGTACCCTAATCCAATGATACCATTAGAGGCCATTCCCGCAGACTGCTATTAAAAAACACGGATAAAGTGCTATCTAAAGGGACAATGACAAAAATATACAGAAAGCACAATGAGTACACAAGCAGGAGTGACCGGTGCTACTGAGTGACAAGACGGAGGTCAGAAGAGGCATCGAGAAGGCTGAGCTGAATCCTGAAATGCCACTAGATCTCTGCATCTCTGCTAGATAAACACATGAGGAAAGACCACCCAGACTATTGCAGCTGCTACGAATTGCCACTCAGTCCCCCTTCAGATCTCAAAGATTAAATCCTGCTGCTGGGGATTCTTCCAGCAAACAGCCCTCAGCTGCCCACTTTCAGAAGTCACCTTGGAGGAAGAGAGGTCATACCCTTGACCAAGGTCATACCCTTCCCCCAAAAAGCCCACATCCAATGACTGGTTGATGTGTCATCTCGGAGGAAGAGACACCTCGACCAAGGTCATACCCTTTCCCCAAAAAGCCCACATCCAATGACTGGTTGATGTGGGGCTATAAAGGTCCAGTTTCCTCACCCCAACTTGAAGAAATCAGAAGGTCCATCCAAGTTTACAGGTCCCTCAAAGTTTCTAGGTTGGTAAGCTGAGGCCTCGGTTAAGATGCGTCACAGCTCGACCTCCCTCTCCACCCAAGCTTGCTTTCTTCCCTGCCCACTGTGATGACACTCCCTAATAAGCCTCTTGCACACTAATTTCCATCTAAAAGTCTGCTTCCTGGGGGACCCAACCTGGAGGAGTTAATATCAGAAGAGGTACTAAAAGCAGATGCTAAGACTTTGAAGTCAGATCATCTACTGCCTGAGTGGCAATGAGGACGCCATTCCTGGCGGATTGATGTTACGATGAGGGACAGTTTGGAGTGACAGCCAGTGGAGGTCTTATCTATGGAGAGCTATGGACACGGTTAACAGAACATGACATTCTTAAGGATAATATACAAGGATCGATGACCAGAAGCTTAAGAACAATCGCCTCAATAAAAATTCACAATTTCTTGTCCAGTTTCCAGATCTTGGCCTGTTTTTGAACGTGAAACTGGGATTGCCAGATTTAGCAAATAAAAATACTGTTTGTCCTATATTTTATCTGACAACCCATTGACTAAAAGAGAGGCTGAGTCCCCAAGGAGAAGGCCTCTGCAACACCACAAGTGTCCGTGGCAATGATTCCTCCCTTCTACATGATGGCCATCATTAGAATAACGATGTCTGGGGAAAGGGGAATACCAAAACAGGTGGAGGCCTGTTGGACACAGGGTTCCAGCCTACATGAACACCTGAAAGCATGAAGCATTGTCAAGGTATTACTAGAGTGGGGGCATGTGGGGGCCAGGTAATAAATGGAGTCACACCCATATCTGGCAATCAGTGAGCCCACAATTTTTTAATCCATTAACAAATATTGGAGAATATTTGGATTGTCTCCATTTTTTTTTTAGCTGCTGTGAAAGCAGGTGCTGTAAATATTCATACTCAAGTCTTTGTGTGGATCAAAGTTTTCATTTTTCATCGATAATATCTGGGAGTAAAATGGGTGGGTTTCAGAATAGTAACAAAATTCTCACTTGTTTATGTCTAAATTTTTTGTCTATTGTTTTATGAAACTAAGAGGAAATATCAGTAACTGGCTTAGGAATAGGGGCTTCACATTTATAAGTCACCCGCCGCCTCCTCTGCCAGCCTGTCAGTTCTTCCAAGGCAGAAATCCCATCATCCAGCACAGCCTCTTAACTGAAAAATATTAACTGTGACACTTTCGCAATAAATGATCAGTTAGGTTGAGATGTACCAAATTGCCATTTGGGGAGGTCAAACACAGTGCTGTATCAGAATGAGTCCATCTAATATACATGGTTCTACAGAGTACGAATAACTGTTAGCCCCCAACACTTTGCACATTCTCTTGGTATTTTTAAAGGACCACTTTTACACCGCTTACTATGCCTGTAAAACAATACTGTGACCGCCTCCGTTTTGGAGATGAGGAGGCTTAGGCCCAAAGGGGTGAGGTCACTGGCTCAGCCCCCTAGCTAGCAGGTGGAGGAGGGAGGCCCCGGCGTCGGTTCCCCGAACCACTGGGCTGCCCTGCCTTCCGGAAAGCGGGGACACCACGCCCAGCCCACAGCCCCACGGCAAGGAACG